TATGAGGAATTACATGAAATTTCTACATTAAAGGATACCACTTTTCGTCTTATATTGTTATTGCAAATGTTCATTGTTAGGAGATTAATTTAGCTTTATAGTTTTATTTAGTAATTTAAATATTCATTTTCATTTAATAATTTAAACCAGAAGTTGTTACTTTGCTACTCGCTTCAGAAACTAGCCTGTTAATACATTTTTGATTCGTGTTTTTCTTTCTCGATTGAAATAGCACTTGTCATAAAACTTTTTTATTCACTTGTTCTATATTATGGATGACAGAGACTATCATCGGGGTCAAAACGAATCTGAGCCCCTAATACGATGTACAGAACACCGCATGACCGTAGCTTCATTAATTCTGATATCACCATACCAGAATGTATTACCAATTAGCTCGATGTTCGATGATGTGAGTTCTTTATTCATACCAAATGTCGCTTAAAACGTATGGTTATAAGTGTACGAACTTAGTCACTCCACCTGTGCAGTGGCTCATTTGCAGTGCAGTGATTCATATTTCACCCGTAATTGTTTTTCTATCTTTCCATCATTATCATAAACTTAGATTCGTTTCGAATACCTAGAAACTGAGACACTGATCAAGTTTTCCTTAGCATAGTTCCTGATGCGGGTGTGAAGAGTTTATTAATTTGGATGGAAATGCACCTTCTAGACGTAATTCAGCTAAGGAATACAGTTGGTGCCGGGTAGTGTGAGCCCATAAACTTCATAGAGCATATCTTACATCGCGATTCAATTAGCATGTCAAAGCAAGGCTTGATTTTATTTATCATTAATTTTTCTTGTTTCAGTATCATCGAGGACTATCGAAGCTGATGACGGGTGCTTTGAAAAGGGAGTTTGCGGTTGCCTTGAAGGGACTCGCTCATCAGTGGATTAACTTCGTTCTGAACGTTTGTGAACCTGGCCACTGCTGTCGTCCGAGATGGGCGAACGATGGCTTGAACTTCCTCGCGTTTTCCGTCTCTCCGAAGTACAGCATTCATCTGACATCTTTGGAATATCAAGTTAGGAACTTTTATTAAGTTTGAACAAAGCTACATGTTTTCACGCAGGAACTGAAAGACGTCATCAATCGTTGCATCGTGCACGTTATTGGTACCCGCACCCCGATCGCTGTGGTGCCGCGGATTCACTCTTGGGACTGCAACTTATCATGCAGCGGTTCGGTAGGTTGATCGGCGGTGAGGGTATTTGTCAAGGTGATGGTGATTACCTCCCTAATGTGAACACATTTACTCTAGATTCGAAACGGAAAATGCCTATTTACCCTCACCCATATGCTCCATGAATCAGCATTCTCTATTTGATGGTTTCATTGGAAACGCTTTCATTGAAAATCAATTCAGACGTGATCCCTAATTCTCATGCCATAGTTTGGTTATCCTCAGATTCGTTTTTGACACAAAAAGATGTATATCACCTGCTGTCCAATGTGAATTTAGCTGATCGCTCTAGGCTTTAATACCAAGTATTCATGGCTAAGAAAATATCCCAGTCGTATTCTGTTAGCTCATATGATCTCTTATCAATTTTCTGCTATATGCACACTAAAGTCAGATCTATTTAATTCACGTACAGCTTCGAAACTTTTGCTCTTATGCGTTGGCCTTCTTACATATTCATGCTTTTTATCAAACTGACCATTTTATATAATACACTGTTCAGTTATCTCTCCTAAGTGACGAAACAATTTTATTAATGATTAATTTTTGTATTAAATTTTCATTAATTACAGAGCACAACTGAAGAATGCGAATAGGGAAAAATGTCTATAGAACGCTGATTCCTCACGGTAAAAGCAGCTGGTAATAAGCTATTGGCTATTTTATCAACAAGTAATATGTTGATATAACTGCATTCCACGCAATGGCCTTCCAGAGAAATCAAAATCTAATGAAACGCGTCGATGAGAATCCTTTCAAGACGACTGTTTCACAAATTCATGCTAATATTAAAAGACGTATGCAAACTGTACGATTGAGAAGCAGCAAATAATGGTTTCATTAAAAATACAGCAAA